TTAGAATATAGATACCGGTTATTTACCGAGAATCTATAGACCCGCGTATATCTTAGTAAAACTAAGTTATTCCCGGCTAGGCGTAAAGAGGCGTTAATAACCGCTATATAATTCCTTCGAAATAAGTTTATAAGAATAACCTCCTATAGAGGCCTATCTATCCGTATATATTATTATTAAGTCTATTATATATCAGCCTCTAGCTCTAATTTAATAAAGTTATAATACGCTTCTTACTACTAGAGACTAGATAGAGACCTAGCTTCTTCGAGTATATTTCTTCTATCTCCGACTTCTAGGAAATTGAAAAATTAGATTGTTTAAATAGATCCTAAATATAGTTATAGCTCTTAGAGTTTAGAAGGACTTCGTATATCCGATTAAGTATAAAATTCGTAGTAGTGCTACCTCTTCCGGCGTACTAATACTATAACTTATCGTCGATAGGCTTATACTAAACGCCTTTCGTTATATCGAGCTTAATAATAAAGTCTATAAGTTATTAGCTAATATAGCCTCGTCTAGTAGGTATACTCTTTCTAACTATATAGAACGTTATAAATATACGGCCCTATTCGTCTAAATTTTTATAAGGATATATTAATATTAGGATCTAAGGGTCCTTAGGTTAGCTTTATAATAATACTATAATAGTTTAAAGAGCGTACTATAAAGAGGAAACTCTATTTTTGTTAATCTAATACTTACTTTTCTTTCGGAGATTGCTAGAAGAGGTCTTTATCTTTATATACTTAAATAGGTACTTACCCTATTCGTATCCTAGAAATATTTGATATTCTATAATAGCTTTAACGAGCTATTACGTTATAAAAATAGTTTTAATTCTATAAGCTAATATATATAGCTTCCTAGGATACTATATAAAGCTTAAAAGCCCCTACGAAATAGTAGATTTCGTAGGGGCTAAGAATAGAGTAAAATATAAGGCTATTATTTAATTACTTTACTAATCGCCTACCGCTATCGATCTTACTAAAATAAATAGCCTCTAAACCGAAAAGATTAATAAGAATATTTAATTTACGATAATTAGATTCTTTTATATATAGTATTTAGCTAGTAACTAAGGGCTTTGTTACTTTAGGTTAAAAAAGTAATATTAAGCTAATTATATTCCTATACTACGCCCTTATATTATTAGCTAGCTACTACTTCTTTCTCTACCTTAGAATAGTAATAACTAAAAGGGATTAGGGACTATTAAAGGGTTAATAACCTACTAAGTATATTTTATTATATTAGGAAAATCACTTTATTAAAGTCCCTTATAAGGGTAGAAGAATTTATAGAAACGCTAATAATAGAGCTATAGGTTTCTATTCTATCCTATATATACTTAAACTCGAAGAATAGGTATCTAATTTAAAGGGTAATAGACAAAATATCTTAAAATATTTTATTATAAATTTATATTAGGATTTATAAATTTAGCTATAAGCGTTAGCTATATAACCTATAATTATACCGTAAAAGTACCGGAATTATTTTAATACTAGCCTATCGGTTAATATCTAGAGGCCCTAGCTATCGAAAATTAGATACTACGATAAGCCTAAGAATAAAGAAGAGTACTTATTAAAGACTCGATCCCTAACTAATATTTGATAATATAATTATAGCTAGTCTTTTATTTTTTAAATATATAGTTAACTATTTAAGGGATAGGTATTCCTCTTCTACGTAAATAATCTTACTATTAACGGACTTAATATTAGGAAGCTTAATAGTTTTACGGTCTTCGTTATTATTAGACTCTATAGAGATAGTTTCCTAGTCTTCGTTATCGTCGGACTCTATAGAGATAGTTTCCTAGTCTTCGTTATTATTAGACTCTATAGAGATAGTTTTACGGTCTTCGTTATTATCCGACTCTATAGAGATAGTTTTATAGTCTTCGTTATTATTAGATTCTATAGAGATAGTTTAGGGTTAGTTTGCTAGCAATTAAGTATAAGAAAATTATATAGAAAAGCTCGTACTTCGTTAGAAAACTTATAAAGATAATATTTTAGTAGAGTATATATCCGTGGTAGTCTCTCTATTTAATCTAAAATATAAACTAGTAGAGGCTTTATAACGTTATATATAACTTCCGAATTTTAAAGCTTATATACCGCTAGTTTAGTTCCCGTATAAAGGCTAAAAATATTAGGGACAGTTTAATCTAGGCGTTCTCTCTCTCCTAATAGGAACTAGAGGGATTATATCTACTTCGGAAGAAGAGACTAGAGCGGTATAGAAGAAAGGCAGTATATAAGGCTAGTTAGATAGCTAGCTTCGAGTAGTATAGAATAATATATAGTAAAAATATTAATAAAGATAGAAGGCTTTAAGTATTAGCTATATTTTTTAGTTTAAGTCTATTAGGTTATTAAGGTACCTATTTCTACTTTCTAAGGCGTTATTTATCGTATCTTATTATCGAAATAAAGATCTAGCTATAGTAAGTACCCTCGCCTCTCGCTTATAGCGATAATATACTTACTTTAGAAGCCTTCCCCGATTCCCGTCTAATTCCTATATAGGCTAGTAGAAATTGCTTTAAAAGTAATACTCTCTTTAAGAATTAAATCTTCGTTAGTCTAAGAATAGACTAATTCGGAAAACCCTAGCCTAGATACTAGGATACTACTAGATATCTATACGGCTTTAAGAAGTAGAAGATCCTAGGAACTATATCTCGATAAAGGCTTTTCTCTCGAGAATAACTTACGCGTCTACGTAAGGGATATTTTATAATATCTTAGTTATAGTACTATTCTAATACTAGTACTAATAACTTAGAATTTTAATACTTTATCTTCTAAAGTATTAGAGGGCTTAGTTACTTTCTTAAGACCGCCCTATAATAGTTAAGTATAGGGAATACTTTAAGATCGATACTAAAGTATTATATATAAAATAGTCTATTCGAACTTTAACTTTTTATTTATTCTAGATTAAGGCTTTTCCTATAATTAATATAAGAGCAAACTATAAGTTATATTATATTTGCTTTGATTAATAGTAACCGAGCTTTCTAAGGCGGTTACTAATTTCTCTAAGATAGTTATTATACTAGTCCGTCTAAACTTTATCTATCTTAATACCTAAACATTTAGTAAGGCGCTGCCTTTTTACGTACTCCTATAAGTATTTAGAGTATAGGTATTAGTAGCTAAGAGCTTTCTTTAAGTTAAGATCTTCTACCGGTTATTACGAAATAATCGGATTATCGCTACTTAGAGGAACGAATTTTATAATCCTATACTTCCCTATAACGCGTATAATACTAGTCTTAAGTACCGTAAGATCTACTAGGAATAGTTCTTTCGTGGTTCTATAGTTACCGTAGACTTAGTACCGAGTACTAGGCTCTTAAAAAACAATAGTATCAAAAACTATATTATTAAGCTCCTTTCTTTTAACGTCTTCTATAATTTAAAGCCTATTATTAGGAGAAAACTAAACTCGAACGGTCTTATTTAGTTAGAGTCTAATATTAATAGGGAGGAAATAGTAACCTATATATAAGTAAATAGGTACTAAGTTTCTAGTAGAAAACTAAGGACTAAAGTAATAGACTATTCTTTCGACGTCGTAGAGATTTTTACTTTTATAGATTCGGGCCTAGAATTTCGATTAGGATCTAAACTCCCGAATAAAACTATCTCGCGCGAGCTACCTAGGAAGGAGAAGAGGCGGGATATATAAGTTAAAATTAAATAATAAATATTTAGTAGGCTCAAATAGATTATAGCTCGCTATCGTAAATTCGTAGTTAAAGTTTTAGATAGAGGATAGGCTAGAGAAATAGTAATCTCTTTATCTTATATCTACCGATAATCCTATTATTTTGTTCCGTAGTACCTTCTTTTATCCTAAGGAAGAAAAATAGTTAGTATACTAGCCTTTACTAAATCATTATCCTAATATAGATCGCCTATACCTATTTCCTTTCTCTACTCCTAGGCTAAATCTACCCTTAAATTATTATTAGAATTATAGGTAGATAATATAGGAAGGTCTGAACGATAACGCTACTTTAGTTCTAGGGGCTTATAGAGCTCTATAAGTAAGTCGCTACTAGGATAATATTATCGATAAAGCGATACCGTCTATAACTATAGAGACTCTAGTCGACTATATCTATTATCACTTAGTATTTTAACGTATTAGGTAGCCTAAGCGGGGGCCTACGTAGCTTCCTCCGAAATCTAAATAGGGATAACTTAATCTAGGAAGCCCTATATTTTAGTAGTTTTAGTAAATAGATTTCTTTTTTTTTTTTTTTTTAGCTATATATAGTTCTATATAGAAGGAGACGCTATACTCTAAACGTATAAAACCGACCCTTAGGGGGATACTTTTTTTCGTTTTAGGCTAGGGATAGTACGGGGAAACGATAAACCATAATACTACCCTTACTTTTTCCGTATCCCTTATTTTCCTAAATCTTTTAACCTTAAGAGCTCGCGAATAAGAAGTTTTATATATCCTAAAACCTCGTTATAGATCTAATACGTATTCGAGAACGTACGTTCTTACTTTAAATAGGGTAGCTAAATAACTTAGAATACCTTTAAGAGGTAGGAGACCCCTTAAGTTAGTATAGGGTAATATACTAATAGAGAAGAAAGGTTATCGAATTTATTATTTATAATAAAAACTATCTTCTAACAAAAATCAGTTAACTATTATATAAGGCATTTAGCTAACGACCTTTAAAGAGATTATCTCTTTGCTTATCCTATAAAGAGGCCCTAAATCGGTTATAATATATCGTTTTAAAAGATATATAGATACCGGAATATTTCTAGTAAGTTATTCCTTTATATAAAGATAATAGAGAATTATTCTAGACCGGCGAAATATCGAGCTCTACGAAACGGACTTTTCGAAATATTCTTAGTACTCTTTATTATTTAAATAAAAGATAGACCTCTACCGATAGTATTCGTCGAGCCTTATACTATATAGTACTCTACCGCGTTATATAGAGTATAATAGAGCTTTATATATCGAAGAAGTTTATAGCTAAAATTATAAAATTTTATATAAATATTATACTCGAGGACGACGGTAATACGCGTAACGATCTCGACGACGTAGCCGAGGAGCTAAAAGCTAACTATAAAATTAGCGGTATCTACGAGTTATACGTATAGAAGGCGGGTAATAGTATTATTTTCTATCTTTTCGTTTTACTATCTAAAATATAAGCTAATATTTCTCTCCTCTTACAATTACGAGAAACTCTATTAACTTCCGGAAAGATATAAAAAGTACTTAAACAAAATAACTAATATAGATAACGTCCTTAGGCACTATAGTTTACTTAGCTTCTAACAAGAGGATTCTATAATATCTATAGTAAACAGTATAGTAAGCTTTATCACAAACTAGTTTAATTTATAAGTATCTATCTTTAAATCGAGTATAGCCGATTAAAAGATCAAACCGATACGGAAAAACTACTAAAAAAAGCGGACCTAAAAAACCTCGAAACGGGCTAGAAAGAATAGTTAGTTTTATTTACTAAAGCCTACATTTTACTAGCTATCTAGCTAAAGTACCGAGACGACTATTAATAGAAGTCTCTACGCTATAAACCCTAATAATATAGAATTTCCGAGCCTAATAAACTCGCCTCGTCTATACGATAGTACGAATCTTAGATTATCGTATTCTAATATAGCAAATATAGAAGCTTCTACTTACTCTTTTTATAAATACGAATCCCCTATTATAATAGTTAAACCTATAAACCACGCGATATCTAGGGAATCAATAGTATCTCTTTTAAATATCTCCTTAGACGCTAGCTAAACTTAACTACTAGCTCTAAACGGGATATTTAACGATACCGCTTACTTAATAAATAAATTCTAATTAGAGCCGATAATATATAGTACTAATACTACTCAGCTAATACACGAATTTTATCTAGAAACCTTTAGCCCGATAGACTATACTAATACTACCTAGCTAATATAGTAATTTGATATATCTAATAGATACTATAGTTAGTAGCACTTATAAGAAGGCGAAACTTAGTTTAATAAAGTATCTATATATAATTTAATAGTTTTTTAATTTAGGAATTAATTAATTAGTACGAATACTCTTATCTAGCATTATTAAATATCCGATATCGCTAATACGACTAGTTTCCTATTATCCTTAATATAGATATTATATTCTTTTAATATAACGTAATAATACTCTATATTAACTTTAATACCGCTAATTGTCGATTTGCCTTTATAGGATATTAGCTCGAGTATTATAAAATTAGTACCTATTAGTATATATATAGGTAGAAATATGAGTCCGCCGCGTCTATAATAAGCTATCTTCGGTAGGCGCCTAGGAAAATTATCTATATTCTATTTATAAATTGTTAGTAATAGTTAGTTATCAATTATAGAGGCCCTACTTTTTCGTAGTCGAGTACTACGCTACGTATAAGTTTATTATAAGTACTAGTATCTATAAACGTAGGCTAGAACGCGGCGGCCTTTATCTTTTTTACTAGAGCGTCTTAGGTAGTTTTGTCTATATTTTTTTCCGCTTCTATCTATACCTTATTTTTACTAAGAAGCGCGACGCTTTATAGACGTAGGATAATAGGAGAGAAAGTATTACTTATAGATATTATATATATCGATTATTCGATTCTCGAGGCGGAAGAAATTACTAAAGAGCGATCCTTATATTAGCAAACTATTGGTTGAAGATATACCTACGAGACTATAAGTTAGTAACTTACTTTAATTATAATAATTATAAACCTACGAAGCCTCTACTTATATCTATACTAATAGAATTTAGAGGGGTAAGAGGGGCGGTCCTTCTCGCGTTACCTAACCTAACTTTAAAGTCTATTACTACCTAAATTAGAAATAACTAATCTAGCTAATTAACTAACTAATTACTTTAGCAACTACCTAGCGATAGGCTAGCGCCCTATATAGTACCGGGGTTTAGGCTATTTTCGAATTCTACTATAAGTTATAGAATATCTATAATATCTCGGTACTCTATATAGAATATTCGAATCCCTATAGCTTTAGTAGTTAGCCTACTATATAATATACTATTCGTCGTAGAAGATACCTCCTTATAAATACCGCTATTAACTAAAAGAGTCTAAACCCGCCGTCCTAACTTATAGTTATTATACGAGGATATACCTTTTACGTACTTTAAGATATAGTACTGAACTATTATAAGAATACTTTTCGTCGATAGGCGGTATCGCTTATCCGAGGATAAGGTAAATACGTCTTAAAGAAGTAAGTTCAGCTAATCGGATCCTATAAATATATAGTTACTATAATTAGTTTCTCCCTTAATTGATCACCTCTTTCTACTTACTAAATATAGTAGAATCATCGCGGGGAATATTTTATATTATCGTTTACTAGTTAGCGCCTAACGTATAGCCCCTTATCATATACTATCTAGACTATTATATGATTAATAGCACTATTATTTAAGAGTTCCGTACGGTCTTATCTTTGCTAAAGTAAGAAAAATCTAAACTCCTATTTCTCTAGCCTTTATACTAATAATAACTAACGTATCTTCCGTAGATATATACGTAGGAATTCGTATCCGAGAGATAGGCTAGGTATATATATTATTAGCGGATACTTTAGGATTTTAGGCTTTCCTTAGCTCGCAATTAGTATATCTTAAACTATAGTATTAATAAAAAGATAACTAACCTATTAAGCACTCCTATTATCTATCCCTAATACTAGTGATAGACCAGGATCTATAATAGGTTAATAAAGATATACTATAATAAACTATATAAAGTCATAAGACCGAAGCGAAACTTTCACTAGAAAGAACCTTTGCTATTTTCCTATAATCGGTTAGGGTTTTTATATAATCCTTATCTTAATAGTCTAATTTAGCTAAGAATATAGTTAATAGTCTAAAGATAATTTCTATATATAGTAATTTTTTATATATAGTAGTTCCCTAGACAGAAGAGGGCTCCGTAAGGAAGAAGATTATTTATAGACATTATAAAATCAATACAATTACTTTAGGGAGCGATTAGTAGCGAGCCGGGAAAATCACGTACGAAGTACTAGGGGAGTAATAGTAGATTAGAGGAGCTAATATATAATTAGTTCCTAACTTCTCCTTACTCTACTTTAGAGAAGCTCTAGACTACTAGCTATCCCGCCGATTTATAGCGCTATCGATAAAAGTGGCCGGATATAGTTAACGTATCTCTTACTATTATTAAGAGTGCTACTAGCCCGAAACTAGCAACTATACTCCGTATATTTCGAGTACCTTTATCGCTTCTTAACCTAGATACTAGTATCGATTTTCTCCCGGAAGCGAACTACCGTAGGGAAGCTAGGGTAAGCTAGCCTTATTTAAGTAAATTATTAATAGCTATAGAAGCAATACGTAAAGGCGGAAGTCTTCTATTTAAGTTCTATATAGTAGTATTCGAAATTAGTTATACCTCTATACTCTTACGGCTTAATTTCTAGAAAATAAGTCCGAAAGGTACTAATCCGTTCTAGATCCCCGCCTTCAATTTCGGTAGAACTATTCTCGTAATAATACTTAAGGTACTGTTATAGTATTATAATAGTATATAGAACTATCCTTCTTAGCTTAAACTATTACTCTCTACTTATTAGTATAGTAACGATTTCTCTTTTCCCCGAACTCCCTAGGATTTCTATAAGTCAGCTACTATATATCGCTTATATCCCTAGGTTTATCTATATAATTGAAATATAACTATATACTTTTATTTAACGACGGGTTTTTTATACTATACTACTCCGGCTCTTTCTATATTTTAATACGTTATAGAGTACGTAATCGTCTTAAGACTACTAAGCCCTACTACCATACCTATTTAGTAACCGTAATGTCCTAGTAGGTAAATACCTATATAGTTTTACGGAGTAGTACTAGCTAGGATTACTGTTACTATCGACTTATTATTTAAGTATATAGCTACGGCTTTCTAAATATTATTTAAGGTTTAGGTATACTTGTAGTAGGGTATATAGCTAGCTCTCGTACTATATTCAATAGAGGTAAGTATATATTCTACTACTTTTATAAAAGTACGCGGATAGGTAGATAGTATAAGAGTAATTACTTAAGTATAGTAAAAATAAGCGTATTTAGATAGAAAGGCAACCTAGTATAGCTTTATATATAGATATATAGCCGGGATATATTATCTAATCTATAAGATATTCGTTAGTTTCTAAAATAGACTCTCTTAAGAGATATAACTCTATAGCTAAGTAGAGTAACAATAATTTATATAAGTTATATAAATCAATAGATTAAAGATAGAAAGCTACTCTAAAATTCTATTTAATTATTCAAATTCTAGGATAGATTAAAATCAATTTCACTATTTTTTTATAGATATCCTTTCTCGAACCCTATTCTATAGTATCTCCTATTATCTTTATAGACTTCTAAAAGATAGAAAGTAGTTAGAGTAAAGTAAGGCTAGTAGGACTATAGCTTTAGGCCGGATCATAATAAGCTTAGGGGTAGGTATAACGATTCTTTTTAGCCGTAAGAAGGGGCTCGGAATATTAGTTTAGCCGAAAGCCGATATAATATAAATTAACCTACTATCTCGATAGTTTAATTATAATCTCAACCTTCCTTCCCCTAGAACTTACTAGTATTACGATCTTTATTCCTTAAATATACCTAAATCATTAGCTTTATACGTTCTTTTACCTATTAATAGTCTAGCGTTTATAAGTACCGAAATCTCTAGATATCTTTTATTTAAATTAGTCTATCTAGTACTCTACTAGACTTATAGCGGTAGTACCTTAGACTTAACTATATAGTCTAAGTCTAATATAGATAATACCGTTCGTCTAAGTAAAGAAAAATTTGATCGTATCCTTTCCGAAAGCTATAATAAATAGTCGTCCTACCTAATAAATACTTATAAAAACCCTCGTCTCCTACCTTCTTCTATCGAACTAAAATCGCTTCTCGAGAGAATACCGTCTTTCCTTAGATATAGATTGGTTTCTAAAGATACTAAGCTATCCTTTAGTTATATAGAAAGGGAATCGAGTAGCGGATAGTCTAGTCTCCTTATCTCTAGATATTCGACCTAGACTACTATATATAGGGAATATTACCTCGAACCGAAAATAATATCTTTAGATATTCTACTAGCTATTCTAAACCTATTAATAGTAGAGATATCAAATTCCGCCCCCCTATAAGAATAGCCTAGTATTAATAGTATCTTAAATTATAACGAGGGAAATTATATTAGTATATTATTCCTTACGTAGGCTTATATCCTTTCTACGCGATAGGCAGAATCACTAAAGCACGCTTCGGGACACTAATATAGTAGCAACTTTACGTATAAGGCTAGTCAGCTTATAATAGGTTCTAGATACTATAATACAATCGAAATTGATATAGGATACGATATTAAAGCTACTAAAGTAGCTTAGTAAGGGGCTATATTATACTCTAGCGGCGGCTAGGAAATAACTATAGATTATAAAAACAAAATATACTACTTACCTTAGTCTATTATTCTTTCCGATAAAGCTAAAATAGGGATAGTAGGAGGTTATCTAATCTCTAAGGAAGGACCGCCGTTATCTAGTACTACTTTAGAATATCTCGCTAGGTTTTGCTCTCGTTACCGACTTTACGGATAGTATTCTATTGCCCTAGTTACTACGCTTTATATTCTATTACTTAGCGGGGATTCTATTTTACTTCCTATCCCGAAACTAGCCTTATACTATAGGCCGTTATCTCTATCACAAAAATCATTAAATCTAGTAAAGGAATACTCGGAATTTCTTTCCCGTTATATAATACTAAGTTATAATATATAAGGTATACGATCTTTACTTTCTAGTACCTTCTTTAACAGAGAGGTTAAATATAATCTTATTAGCGCCTAGCTCAGTCCTATCTTTATAATAATAAACTCTTTAGTCTAGAACGAGAAGCCTCTTACCCTCGCTAAAGTCCTTAGATATCGGTAGCCTAGATTAGCTAGCCTTTAGCTCGGTATAAATATAGTAGGACTAGCAAACCCTATAATACGAAATATCCGGATCGGGCTTATAGCTATAGAATTCAATACAGCGGCTTAGATAGGAACGTCCTAATCTTTTATAACTATAGAACCTAGTAATAATAACGGTTAAATAATCCGTAGGGAAGACGAGTATCGTTTGCTATTTATCATAGCCTATAATAGATATACTAGACCACCTATTTATCTATAGAAACCGTTTAGAGAAACTCGGCTTCTTAATACTAAACTTATAGTATAGTAATATACCGCTTACCGCTATCACTATTTAAAGTATAAAACTTAGAACTAGAATCTAGTAAATAGAGAAATACTCGAAGACTCCGGTATATCTCCGATAGAATTTAGTAAAGAATTTCTAATATAGAGATATAAGGAAAACTACTACCCGATATAAATTAGCTTAACCCTATTTTCCTAGGTAGCTTCGGAGGCTATAACTCGTAGAATTTTTAGTTAGCTTAGATCTATAGG